AACCTCAGAATAACTTGCTCGAACGCCCTGCGCAACCGCCAATGAGCAGAGTTACGAAAGAGTAAATCTCTTGTCATCAAGGCCTTCCCACAGCCGCTGTGCAAAGACAATCTAAAAATAACGTGCTCCAGTACGAAGGCCGCGACGCAGCCGCCGCAAGTTGTGTATGTCTGATGTTGTTGTTTAAGTTCTTCTAAGTTTGAGTGGGAGTGGAGAGTAATGTATGATTCGCCGCGTTGCGACCGCTTACGCGTTGTGCTTGTCCTACTCTGTTCTTCAAGTTCTTCTTCTTATATTTTATTAAGTCTGGCCAGCTCTAGTTGTACTTCCCATCGAGTGATGGTCTTTATGGTCAATTGAATGGTGGCAATATCGTCGTCTGAGAGAGCGAAAGACCTTGACTTCAACAGTCTCTCTCTGGCCTCGAAATATTTTTCCTGTTCCTTCCATCTTTCCTATTTATCACGTTATAGGTTGATCGGGCCTATGCCTGAATGTGTAGCGGACGTAGGGATGATTCGCATAAAGGTGTATCTATGTACATGTTTATTATACATATTAATTACAGTAGGAAGAAGACAAAGGGTGGAAGGGGAGAGGACAGGACGAGGGGGCTTGAGATAGCCTTGACGAAGGGCCGTGGTTAGCCTGGTCTCTAAGACGACATCCGAGTCGACGACCTCCATGCCATGAGGCGGCTGCTTTTATAACGTGTCTCCTGATGGATGGCATACAGCTTTCTCGTAGGTGTTGCGGCAAGGCTGACGAAAACCTGGCGGCTGTCTCGAGCTGACGCAACACTCGACAGAGCTGACGTATGACTCGACATCTCCATTCCTTACATAAAGCTCGTCCTCAACTTTGAGGACCGTTCCATATGATTTTAAGCATTTGATGTTCATGATGTGCAGACATGGAGGAGAATTATGAGTCAGCAACAATTTGCGAGGAAATTGAACTGCCAAACGAGACAGTGATACAGGCTACCCTCACAAAAGGCTATGCCACTCGGTTGAGAAAAAACTCGTCTTCGAGTTGAAATTGGGAACTACATGGTAATGGTTCATAGGTGCGGAGGAGTTGTAATCCAGATGATAGTAGGTCACATTAGTGGTGCTATATCAGTTGTGGTCATACAATGCGGTTTTAATAGGGTGATAGTAGGGTTCATCAATGGTTCTATAGCTTTTATGGTCATATAATAAGATTTTATTGTCAAAGACAACATTATGAACATTATCAGTATCATTCTTACTTAGGTGTGACAATATCAGTATGTCGTTTGAATAAACATAATTTCACTCGTAAATGATAGTCAGCTCGTGTACAATACTATTGGGTTGTAACATAAGTTCGTAGAGTTTTGTGTTAGGGTCATTTTACAACGATTCGCTTTGTTTTTTGGCGAAGTGTATATATTCATTCGAAAGAGCTCTTTCTCCTCTATAAAATAGTTTTATTCGTTTTTTTTTGGATAATCTAGTTATACGTCTTTTTTCTGGCTCAGAATTGGAATATCCAGGAGGAGAAAATCAGCATTTTCGACATCTGCTTTTCATCGAGGTCAATAAGCAGCCGAAGCCGCTCGGACATATGCAATGTGTACGAGGAAGGTGTCCTAGGTGTGTCTCTGGGTGGCCCCAGGAGAGGCACCGAAGCCGAGAGTCAAGCAAGACCATCACTCAAAATAGGTCATGATTTGCGTTTGGTGAGACTGGAAAGGCACGGTGCACTGGGAAATGCTCGAACGAAACGCTACTGTCAACAAGGAGGTCTACATTGCCCAGCTAAACCGTGTTAGTGAGGCTATTCGGCTGAGAAGACCCGATAGACAAGGTGAAGTCATCTTGCTCCACGACAACGCCAGGCCCCATAATGCCCAAGTCGTCAAAACAGCACTCCAAAAGNGGAGAAAATCAGCATTTTCGACATCTGCTTTTCATCGAGGTCAATAAGCAGCCGAAGCCGCTCGGACATATGCAATGTGTACGAGGAAGGTGTCCTAGGTGTGTCTCTGGGTGGCCCCAGGAGAGGCACCGAAGCCGAGAGTCAAGCAAGACCATCACTCAAAATAGGTCATGATTTGCGTTTGGTGAGACTGGAAAGGCACGGTGCACTGGGAAATGCTCGAACGAAACGCTACTGTCAACAAGGAGGTCTACATTGCCCAGCTAAACCGTGTTAGTGAGGCTATTCGGCTGAGAAGACCCGATAGACAAGGTGAAGTCATCTTGCTCCACGACAACGCCAGGCCCCATAATGCCCAAGTCGTCAAAACAGCACTCCAAAAGATTGAATAAGAGGTTCTTCAGCATCCACCGTACTCTCCGGGTCTTGCACCTACCGACTACCACCTTTCCGCTCTTTGTCAAACCAAATGCGGAGTGTTACCTTCGATGGCGAAGAGGTTCTTGGAAACTGGCTCAACAGCTTCTTCGACACCAGACCGGCCGATTTTTGGCGAAACGGCATCAACAAATTGGTCAAGAGATTGGAGGAGGTCGCAAACAGTAACAGGAAGATACATCACTGATTGATTTATTATTATAATTATTGTTTTTTGGTAAAGTAAATCTCTGTGAAAAAACTCTACGAACTTATGTTACAACCCAATAGTTACTAGTATAGTTAAGGAATACGAATAGTAGACTAGTAAGATGACGAAGCATATATTGGTCTTGATAGTATTCGACTAATATACGAACAAGTGAAGATACTATGGTACGGATACTAGTCTTGGCTCTGCACACTTATTTCGACTAGTATAGTATAAGCGCGTAATTTCGGTATTATAGCAGGAGAAGAATGCACGCATTGTTTCCTTGAACCGCCCATTTAAGGAAATGTGTTTATGAGATGATGAGAAGTTAAAAAATTTAAACTTACGAAGGATTGTGATCTCGATGTAAGAACGTTCCGGCTCGATCATGTTGGTCTATTGAGCGTTCTTGATTCTCCTGAAAACGACGAGACCGTCGTATTACGAGTTGTTCAATGTCACTCGATGCTTCTATATCTGATGGTTTGAGTGGTGGTGTGATGTTTGTGTTAGAAGCTTCAGGTGGCACTGAACGAGGGGAATACATTTTTAGACGATTAATATGAGCTGCTGTCGCACTGGGCGACCTACAAGATTAGTAATTGTTATGTTGAGGCGATTGACCTTCTCATTCACGAAAGGGCCATTCCACTGGTTCGTGAGTTTAGGGCGAACTGTGTCGTCAAGCAAAAAGACTAAGTCTCCAGTGGAAAAATCTTTTGGGTATACGTCATTGTAGATCGTAGCCCGTCTTGCATTGTGCACTTTTTGGACGATCTCCTTGTCCACTTCTCCTTAACGATATTCTTCAAGCTAACGGCGAGTTGGTCCACGGAATTGTCAGATGTTAGTGCTGTGGAGGGAGGAAGTTCATGGGTTATGTTACTCCATGTTAAAGGACATCGGCCATATACGATGAAATATGGATCGTAGCTTCATCCACATGGGGTAAACAATTTCGTCTTATCGTTATCGTGTATGGTGTAGAATAGGAAATCGTTGTACACTGAGAATAGTTCGATGGTACTCTCAATTCGCATTCTATTCTTGAGGAACTTCCTTGAGTTGTGTAGTGAGAAATTCGTATATGGGACCATATTTCGAATTTCTCTGACTCTCTTGAATTTCTCCGAGAGGGAAAAGATCGTGCTATGTTCGAGTTGACACATGATGAAGGAAGATGGCTCAAAGAATCACAAATGAGTTGTGCTTTCCTGCGCGATATTCTATTGAAATATCGTAGGATT